TCCGAACCCTCGGCGGGAGCGCTGCCGCGCTCCCAAGTGGTGCACTGTAGCAGTGCGCCACTGGGCCGGGCCAAAATGAGATAATTTTAAAATACATTTCTAATAGGACAGTTTTGCAGACTTGATGAAGTAATAAATGTTTATGACAGTGTCTATAAAACTGTCAAAAGATTTATAAATATAAAATGTCATAATGTTTAAAGTGCTGGGTTTGCATTGTTTACTCCAAATCATATTGCTCAGAGGCTGATTGTCAGGTGCTTATTGTCTTTTCTCTTTTGCCTTCCTCCCTATTCCCTGCCTTTCCTCATGGAATGTTTTGTCCTCATCCTCAGCGTGGTGAGAGGGAAAGGAGCAGTGCTCAAGACTTTAAATTAGTCAGTTTTCAAAACTGTTGTAGATCCAGTTTTGAATTCCATTACTCAAGATACCTTTTCACCTGTTATAAGAATTAAGAGCTTACTGCAATTGAATTTAGACTTTTTAAAGTTTAATTTATTATTGTTATTAATTTTAGTATGCTTTGCAATAAATCAAGTAATATGGATGGGATATTTCTAATTAGAATTCATGTTATCTCACAAATAATAAGTGAATAACCAGATTCTTAATTTTTGTAAGTCTTATGTAATCTATTAAGAAGTTACTTTTTTATAAATACTTTTTCTGATTATAAAGCCAATCCATTATGGAAAATTTGGGAAAGGAAAATGAACAAGTAACTAAATAGTAATTATCTATTATCCCATCTCCCAAAGGTAACTCCTCTTCACCTTTTACACTTTTCCAGTTCTTTGATGATGTATTCCCATATATTTTTTAATAAATTTGATCATTGTTTTATAATATAATTTTAAGATTATAATGTATCTCTGTGATCCTCAATATCTTTATTTGTAAAATGGTGATAAAGTATGCACTGTATGGGGTTCTTGTGAGGAATTAATTGGGTAATGTGCACATTAGCAGTGCCTATGCACTCAGTAATGGAAGCTAATACTAATACTAGTAATGGTAGTAAGACATTCCTAAAAGCATAACTTCTAGAGCAAAGTATGTGAATATCAAGGTTGTCGATAGACATTGCCACATTTCCCTCTCAAACTATGCTACTAGTTTACTCCTACCAACAATGTATGAAAATGCTTTTTGCCTTCCAGCCATAAATAACTATGGATATCATAATTTTTAAATATTTGCTAATTTAATGGCAAAAATTGCTATTTCATTTTTTCAATTTGCATTTTGAAGAAATATTAAAGTGTTCATCATTTTTTCATGTGTTTATTAACCTTTTGTGTTTCTCGTGAATTTTCTATTCAAATTTCCTTTGAAGAAAGCTATTCTAAGAGTAACTAATAAAACTCTGCTTTTATCTAAACTGAGGCAATTGGATAATGCTCTATTTTATTTAAAATGAAAGTTTCAATAGGACATATACTTTTGATAGCTGAAAGATTGACATATAAATGTTTCCATTTTAGGAAGAACATTAGAGAAAGTTCTAACTGTTCCATAGAGTCTTGTTCACATCTTGCTTTCTAATTGCCTGTAATTGTTTTTGTTTTAGAAAAGCACAGGTCGACCACATATAATTCAGAAAACCTTGGTGGGACAATATTCTAAACAAATGAAGAATCACAGTAAGTTTTCATTCAAATAGCTGTTATATTTATGTAGTAGGAAGCTGTGACTTGGTGGAACTTGGTAGGCACGCAGGCTTGTTGGGAAGTGGGATTGGTCCAAGAACTGTAAAGTGAACTGTGGCTTTCATGTAATGAGGCACAGAGAGTGTTTCTGATGGAAAGACTGAAACACGAAGCCCAGGAGTAAAGCTGTGCTGGGAACTAGAGAGTGTGGTCAAATTTAGCACAGTGATTTG